ACACACACACACACACACACACACACACACACACAAGGAATCCATGCTTAGTCATCTCATATCGACCAACTCAGACAGTACCAGCCTTACCTTCCTTGCACCATCACCCCACCCCTCGGTCACCGTCCGCCCTTCCTCTCGGGTTCTGTTTGTACATATTAGGGAGCTCCAGCAGTTCTCTGGGAGTATGATGCCCCTCCACCTGGGTCGTTATTCGTACTTCACCTTGGGGGGCTTGCTGGAACATTCCGTCTCATCCATCTAGAGGCAGGAACAGGTTGTGAGGTGTTTCTTAGGAACAGGTCAGGTTTCGGCCGCAGCCAGCGCTCCGACAAAGCCCTCGCTGCCCCCTCAGCAGGCACAGTGGACAAACCCCGGACGTGGGTGCGACGATGGTCGTACTGATGACAGAGGCGCAGCAAAAGTGAAGTAACCTCTTCTGGTGGGAGGGGCAGTGCTGTTGAGCGGTCAAATGGAAGTTAAGGGCCCAACGTCCCCATTCTCCCGATTTTCTGTGCACATCGTGCCCCCATCTCGAGTTCCAGGGTCCTGTAACCCAACTGGTGCCCACGCTCTAACATCAGACACCAGTCAAGTGGAAAATTCAGCCGGCGTTGTAATTCAGCCGCCCTTACTGTAACACTTTGGGTTGGGCTGGGGGCACTGTCTGTGACTAGAATAACCAGGGCTTTCTTTAAGGCACAAGTGGACAGTTGGAGGTTTTGGCAGCATGTAGGCTGTGGCTCCAAAGCCCTGAGCTGGTCTTTGCTTGACCGCTTAGTCTCTTGTAAGTAACACCAATTAACCAACCAGCACACGCTGCTCATCTTGACAGGACTGCCGGGAAATGCCGCCACACGTTTCCCAGAACCTTCCTCTTCAGCACACTTGACCTGCTGATAGTGGTCGTCTGTGTAGTAGGAGCACCACCTCGTGCTGTGCACTGACAGCTCCCTGCTCCTCAGGCAGGGTGGCCAGCTCTCACAGGAACCACTGAGAAAACTCCTCCTCATGACGATGTTTCTCTAGAAACCGCTCGTGGTACCAACGGCATCTGGACTTGAACGGCGTCTGAGGCGGTCTCAGGCTGGGTTCTCTAGAGAAGCAAAATCAGTCAGGTTGGCAAGTGTGTAGTTTTCCATTCAGAAAATGGCACACACCGTTGCCAACGTGGGGGAGCTCAAGTCACGTGCTCCCAGTCTGTGGGCCAGATGTCAAGCTGGAGGCTGTGGGGACAGACGCGCCCCTGACTGACAGGAGGACGACAGGCTGCAGGGGTGGGCACCTGCACGTCAGCAGGGCAGGCTCATGAGCAGAGAGGTGCATGGATCTGGTCCTTCCTGGTGGCTCCCAGCTCGCCTCCGTTCAGACTCCATCCATTCCGTGTTCTCATCCCAGTGGGTGTGCTCAGCGGCTGCTTCTTCTTCGTATGCACGCCACATCAGCAATGACATGCCCTGAAGGATCCACTCCGTCCCCGGCTTTCAGTTGACTCCACCTTGGGATGCTGGGGACGGGGATTGGAAGGCCCACGGGCTGCCCGGAGAGAGACCGCAGTAACACCGATCTGGGAGGAGGTCCCGCCAGCCTGCTCCTGCACAGCAGGGTCCGGAGCCTTTGTCTCACAGCCTTCGGACAGGTGGTCATGAGAGAACAGCCCCAGGAGGGGACGCAGAGCTTGACAAAGTAGCGGGAAGGCCGCCGCCGTCGGCAGGGTGGACGCACCCAGTGGCCACATCAGCACAGCTGTGAGGAGGGCGCAGGACTGGGGGGGCGGGCTTTGAGGAGACAGGTCTTGTGTCTCCTCCAACCCAAGGGGCCGTCTTCTTGCAGTATAGCAGACGATGCTCGGCTACCATCCGGCGATTCTCACTGGCCACATTCTTGGAGATCACAAACTCCCTCTTTCCTTGAGCCCTGGTGGTGCAGTGCTTATGCATGGGGCTGCTGACTGCAAGGTTAGCGGTTCTAAACCACCAGCCTCTTCATGGGGGAGGGGAGGGACTTTCTACTCCCATAAAGAATTACAGTCTCTGAAAGCCCCAGGGCCATGCCGCCCGTGCGAGGAGGTCTCTGTGAGTTGGCAGCGACTCAGGGGAACTCAATCCGGTTTGGGTTTGAAAGTCCTTCTTCTAGTCCTTCTTCGTCTGGAAGCTCTGCGGACACCTGTGCACGTTGGCGACCCCACTGCTCTATGGACGTGCCCCCGGCATCGCATTCAGAATCCCAGCAGTGCGCAAGCCACTTCAGAATGACCCGCACACAATGGGCCAGCTGCAGATGGCTATTTGCACTTCATTAAAATTAAAGTAGATTCAAAAATTCAGATCATCGGGACGCTTCCTGATGAGCCCCAGAAATGGTTTGAACCTGTCCCCAGGGTGGAGATTCGACACTTCACTGACACAAACTGAGAGCTGTTTACCATGTCTCTGCCAGCTCGTCCTACCTGTGGTGCCTTGTGTACGGCTGGGATGCTGGAAGTGATGTCACTGGTCTTTGAAAATCAGCAGGTGACCGACCGCACAGCTTCCAGACCAGGGACAGACGACGAAGGGGACAGAGCCTGTCCCCTCTCCGGAGACTGTCGGAGCAGCAGCAGGTCGCCGTCAGAGACAGGGCCCTCGGGGCGGCAGGGGCGCGAGATACAGCCAAGGAAGAGCTTCTTTCTCAAAGCAGAGTGGCCCATGGTGGCATGCGTGGAAGCAAAGAGGAAGGAATGGTCACTGGAAAACACGGCCTTGGTGACAGAAACGAAGCAAAAGTCTGGTTCTTTCAACAACACAAATGGTCACCATGACCTTGAATTTCTTCAAAGAGAAGAACACTCAGAAATCAAACTGATTCAGCCACTAAGACGTGGCCAAGGACGGGCGATGGAAGGACAACTTCCATTGTCAAGGGTCAGTTCAAGTTGAAGCTGGAGCAACTTAAAACGAGTCCACAAGAGCCAACCTGCAGCCTTGAGGCTACCCCACCCGCGCCCCGAGATTGCCTCAAGAACAGATTTAACCCGTGGAACTCTAAGGACAAGAAGAGCTGATGCGCTGTGGGATGACACCAAGAACACCCTACGTGAAGACAGCAAAGAAACTTCTAGAAGGCAGGAGAGAGAGAAAGGTCAAAGTGGGTGTCGGAAGAGACTGACATATTAAGTATGAACTCTGATTAGAAAGTAGCTAAGGCAGGTGGAAGGAAGGACGAAGTGTAAGAGTTAAACAGAAACTTTCAGAGGGCAGCTGAAAAAGATCGAGCAAAACATCATCATGAAATGTGCAAAGACCTCGGGTTAGAAAACCAAAGTGAAGACACTGGGGGGGTGGGGGGGGGCGGGGCAGGGAATTCAAGCTCCAAGTTGAACTATTGAAAGATTTGATGGGCAAACATTGAAAGATGCACGAAACGTGATGGAAAGAACACACAGAGTTCCTGTGTCAAAAAGAACTCATCGACATGCAACCACTTCAAGAAACAGCACCAGACCGAGAGCCAATGTACTGGACGGGGAAGTCCAGGCTGCACTGAAGGCTTTAGCCAGAAACAAGGGTCCAGGGATTGATGAGACACCATTTGAAGCCTCGCAACACACGGGTGAAACACCGGAAGCACTTCTTTGGAAGACAGCGACCCAGACAACAGACTGGAAGAAAGTCGCCCCACAGAATGCTCAACCTCTGGAACAGTATCACCGGTCCCACGTACAGGTACAGTTCTGCTGGAGAGCACTGCCGCAGCACATTGCCGGGGCAGCCAGAAATTCAGGTCGGTCCAGAAGAGGACATGGAACAAGGGGGATCGTTGCTGATGTCAGGTGGACCTTGGCTGAAAGCAGAGACCGGCAGAATGATGTCTAATTCTGTTTTTTCTCACTATACGAAGGCATGTGACTATGCAGATCGTAACAAACTCTGCGTGGCCTTGAGAAGAATGGAAATTCCAGAACACTTCATTGTGCTCACGTGAGACCCGAACCAGGGAACACTGCTTGGTTTTAAATCAAGAAAAGTGTGTGGCAGGGTTGTATCCTCTCACCACCCTTGTTCAATCTGCAAGCTGAGCAAATCATCAGAGAAGTTGGATTCCATGAAGAAGATCTCAGCATTAGGATCTCAGGAAGGTTTATCTGCAGCTGCAGTACACAGACAGCACAACCTTGCTTGCTGAAACCAAGGAGGGGGATCTGAAGCACTCTTGATGAACTTCAAGAACTGCAGCCTTCAATACAGATGGCAACATAATGTAGGGTCCCCAATCCTCACAACGCGACCAGTAGGTAGCGCCATTAGAAATGGAGAAGAGTTAGAAGGTGTCAAGAATTTCATCTTGCTTGGAACCACAATTAATGCTCATCGAAGCAGCGATCGAGAGATCAAACAACACATTACATGGGTTAGATCTGCCACATAAGACCTCAAAGCAAGGGTGTTATGCTGAGAAGTGTGTGCGTCCGCACTAAGTCATGGTGTTTTCAGGCATACATGCGGAAGCTGGACAGTGACGGAGGAAGGTGAAGAGGAATCGATGCATTTGAATTAAGGTGCCAGCAAAGAAAATCAAAAGGACCAGGGACTGCCAAAGGAGCAAACAAACCTGTCTCGGAAGAAGTCCAACCAGAACACTCCTCAGAAGCAAGGATGGCAAGACTTATCCCATGGACTTGGGACATGTTATAAGACAAGGCCCGTCTCTGGACAAGGACCCCATGCTTGGTGAAGTAGAGGGAAGCAGGAAAGACCACCACCCTTGTGTGGCAGTTTTAAAATCGTTGGTCAATTTGAGGATTAAGAGTGAAGGGGTGGAGTCTAGTCTGTCAATCGGGTCATAGCCAATGAGGCCTCTGTGTGGGCGTGGCCTCCTGAGAATTCTGGGAACTCCTGTATTTCCTCCTTGGAGGCGGGAGACACTTCTCCCTCTCTGCTCACTCCCTGAGAGATGCTCTACTGACAAGACACATGGCGCTATGCCCTGGGAGCTGGAGAAGCCACATGGACCTACCCTGATGCAACCAGATCTCTGGATCAGGAGAAGCCACATAGAGACCCCTGCCAGGGCTGAGATGTTTACAATGCCACTGGATCCACAAGACCTCCAACCCACTGACCTGTGACCTTCCTGCATTCAGCACCATTGCATGTGTTTTGTGAGTCTGAAGAGGGATAAACAGATCGGTATCGGACATAAGGGCTAATATCGGACTTATGGACGTGATCTGGACTGGGCTGGGATGTTTTCTCAATATCCAATTGCTCTTGGACATAAAGCCCTTTCTTGTACACACATGAGTGTGTCTATGAATTTGCTTCTCTAATCTACCCCAAGGCAGATGGCACCTGCAGGAATTCACCTTCTGGTCTCAGTTTGTGCGCCGTTTCCATAAAGCTGTCTGTCTGCACTGCACCGCAGTGTGTTTTGATTCACTTCAGTCATGCCAGGCGTTGTACCCAGCATTCTGAGGTTACCCGCATGGAAGGAGGTGGCACGGTGGTGGTGGGCTGGCGTCACGAGTTGCCCTGCACTGGGTCACACAGTACTCCCGATGTCCCCATGACGGAGGAGACCAGGCAACATAGCAGAGCAGGCCAGCGAGACCTTTACTGGAGGCAGAAGGCAGAGAGCAACTTCTCAGCAGCCCTCAAGGGTTGATGACCTCGATGTGGAACTGCAGGTGAGTCGGCGTGACCTCACAGTGGGCCCGGAGGAGAGCACAGGTGTGGCAGGACTGGCGTTGCCAGTGGCACTGGAGGAGGTAGATGGCGTAGAGCACCTGGAGGTAGCGCCAATGGATGCGCCACCTCCTGACCACGGACTGGAGCTTAACCACCGCCCAGACTTGCTTTGTGGACACGATGAGCGCGGCCCGCCGGTTCCCCTCCAGCCGCCGGGCCAGCGTCAGCCGCCACCAGCCCTGAATGACCCAGGCCCGCAGCGCCGCGTGCAGCAGAGTCCGCCGCACCAGCGTCCCGCGCCACCAGGCCTGGATCTTGAGAGCTGACTTTTCTTCTTTCTAGACAGAGACAAAAGAGGCTGCTCAGGGAACGTCCCGATACCAACCTCCGGGTTTCCCCGAGAAGAGTGTGAGCCTCTCAACAGGCAGGCCTTCCGCAGAGCTCAGGGGAGTCCAGAGACACTGACCCGGGGCAGGAAGCCTGGCTGTGATCGCTCTCGGCCTCTCTGGACACAGCATCTGGCACTCAGAGTTCAAGACCGCTGGGTGCACGGATCAGGGGGAAAACCAATTAATTAGAAGGATCCTCTCGTCCCAAAGCACAGTTGACTGTTGCCTCTGTCCCAGCAGTGTCCTTGGAGACCGGGATGGATTCCCAGCCCAGGCCCTTCCCCGTCTGCCCCCATGTCGAATGTTCTACTCTTTACTCCAGAGCCCCCACATTCTCGCCTCCCAGCCCCATCCATTCTTGACGGTTTCATTCTCTCCCGTCACTCTCCAGGTGGAGTCAAACCCACACTCGGGCACAGGAGTGGAGGGAAAATGAACCCATATTGAGCCGATCTCTAATTACTTTAGATCCAAGGCCCCGAAAGGGCAGCATCTCACACCCTCGGGACTCAGAGACAGAGGGTCTGCATTTCTCTCAACTACATGGAAGCTGGACCTACCTGTCTGCTGGGCATCTTTCAGTCTGGTCCTTCCTCTCTATCCTTAACTACAATTGCACAGAGATGACCTTCCTTCTGGAATCAGAATTGACTGGAAAATGCGTAGGTAAAATAAGACTGGTGTTTGTCCATCTGGTTTTGCATGAGGGCACCACACACACACACAAAAAACCGCCACCATCACCTCTGTAAATCCAGGGAGATTCCCACCCGCCCCCAGGCATCCCGGTAGATGTGGCTGGCTGGGTCTCTTACACAAAATGGAATCCTCACGAATTGTCTATAGCTGTTTCATTAGCCCTGGTTTCTCTGTATCCCCAAGATGCATGAGGGGGCGGACTGTGAGTTTACAATTGCAGCTCTGACGTGGGCTTAGGACGCCCAGCACACACTGAGTCTCTGTTAGAAACAAGTCCCCCGGGAGCATGTCATACGTGTCTATGTGACTCCTGCCAGAGATGTGGGAGGTAGAGCACAGGGAGATGGGGCATGTGCACCATTCCACCCCGGCTTCTCCTTCCGCAGCTCTCTCCCCCAGTCCGTTGCCAGGAGCCGTCCCACAGGAAAGCGGGAGGAACCACGGCCAGAGATCGTCTTCTCAGGCTCACACACATCCTGTCCTCTCTCCACTCAGACGTCAGTACGGGCACAGTAAGTCTTTACTGGAAAAGAGACACAAATCAGCCCATGAATCCAGAAAGCAGGAAGAAACAGTTAGAAAAACGGACGAACAAAGAACTGGAAGTTGGCTGTGGGAAATAAGTTTAAAAGGTAGTGTTTTGAAAAGACAAGTATTTAAGATAATACTCATAAACCTGACCAAGAATAAAAGAGAACCAACTGAGGCCTTAGTCCCAAACTAAACACACCACACACACACACACACACACACACACACACACACACCCGCAGTCTTCTTAGAAGCCTAACAATTATTTCCCGTAACAAGGAGAAGCTTGCTGAAGATCATCCAACACTGGTGGCAACAGGATCTGGACAGGGCGCAGTGAGGGCTCAGACCGGATTCGGAAGAGGATGCGGAGTGAGGGATGTCCTTGTGACGTCAGCTGGATCTCGGCTGAAGGCAGGGAAGACCAAGAAAGATGCTTCTTGTGCTGCACTGACTCTGCCAAGACACTGGGCTCGTGGATCATAACAACGCCGGGTGGCTGTGAGCAGAGTGGGGATTCCAGGACACTTCCTGGTGCCCATGAAGAATCCGGACCTGGGTCAAGAGGCAATCTTGGGAACAGAACAAGGGGATACTGCACGAGGCTGTATCTTCTCACCGTACGTATTCAATCTGGATGCACAATTGGTAATACGGGTGCCAGACGATAGGAGGAGGAACGCGGTCTTAGGAGCAAAGGAAGCCTCCCACCAACCTTTGATATGCAGATGACACAACTGTGGTTCCTGGAGGGGGGCGAACTTGACCTTCATCTGCAACTGCTTCACAGACATAAAGCAATCCAACGTCTTCACAACTGGACCGATAGACCGAATCGGATAAATGGAGACAAGACCAACGCTGTCCAGACTTCCTCTTGCTCCCGGAGGCAGCCGTCAAGAAGTCAAAGGAGGCATTGCGTGGGGAAGTCTGCCACCCAAGGCCTCTTTCAAAGGTTGAGAAGCAAGGTTGCCTCTTGGAAGGCTAAGATGTGCTTGACGCCAGTCATGATCTTTCTCGACTGCCAACCCTGTGTGTGAGAGCTGGCCATTGAATAGGGAAGCCCGAAGAAGCAGCGATGCCCGTGAACGCTGGTGCTGACAAAGCACACGGAAAGGCCCGTGACGGCCAGGAGAACGCGCAAGTCTGACTTGGAAGGACGGCAGCCAGAATGCTCCTGCGAGCAAGGATGGCACATTAGCGGTCTCACGTACTCGGGACTTGCTGTCAGGAGAGACCGGTCCTTTGGAAAAGACACCGTGCTTGACAGACAGAGGGGCGGCCACAGAGGAGGACCCTCGATGAGGTGGACCGGCACGGTGCGCGTGTGCACGTTGTGAGGGGCGTGCCGGACGGACGAGACACTGCTTCCTTCTGCTGTCCCTGGGATGACTGCGAGTGGAACGGACTCACTCGGGGCACCTAAGAACAAGCTCCGCCGGGCCCACCTGGAGCAGGGGCTCTTTTAAGGCCCGCGATCACGGTCTGTGTCTCTCTGAAGAACTATGAGATGGGCAGCAGCAACTCGAAGACCAGGAGACCGTGAGTTCAAGTTCACAGGAAAGGATCAACTCAGGAAAAGGGGGTGGGGAAAGTCCTACTGCCTGAGGACTGTGGTCCACATCGCGGAGCTGAGAACGTGGAGGTCGCTGCAGCCGGGCCGGCCCTTCGGTGAGCATTCTCAACAACAGAACTAAACTCTTTGAGAAAAACATTTTTTAAATCAACTATCTAAATTACAAACTCGATGTCAAGGGATCCGAGCCAGAGCCCCATGCGGCGCCTAGTCTATCAGGTCCGTTTGGGGTCTATCTTACAGTTACCTAGCCTTTCCTTCCTTTCCGTCATCTTGATGTTTTGCAGGTTCCAAGCAGTTTTATAGCATCTGACCTATAAATGCCCTCTATTGGGGTTTAAAAAAGAACACATCCCCCTTATGACTAGAGACAGCTGGTGGGGTTGGAACAACACAGACGCTGTGCACTTCCCCTTGCAAACCATGGGGTCATGTTCAATATCGGGTCCGTGAAGGGTGGCGTTACATTTCATTAGGGATTCGAGCCAGCTTACTTGACTGTAATGCTTCCTCTTGGAATCAGGAAGCGTTTTCACAGGGAGCCGCACGGAGACTGTTCGATGCCATCCTGCCCTTTCTTCCTCACTAGTTTTAGTAAGCCCTGATCTTTCTCTCTGCCTCTTTTGGGGGGAGGGCTAAATGGTTTATTCCTATGAGGTTCTCAAGCAGCAATTTTTCTAATACCGTCTTTTCTTCCCTACGTATTAGTTAGCTTTCTACGATAATGAGGAGCTTGAATTTCTCATCTACTCATCCATCCACCGGTTTAAATCAGTATAGACTCCCACCCCCAAAAGCTGCCATTGAGCCTGTTCTGATTCATAGTGACCGTGTTAGCAGTCGAGCCGCTTGCTCCCGGAGCTTCCAAGGGCGTCCATGGTTCTGGAAGCAGCAGCCTGAGAGTTCTCCTGTGGAGCAGCTGACCTCGCAGTCAGCAGCTCAACCAGGACCACCGGCGCTGCGAGCGCTCCCCCATATTGGTTTGTGGGCTCCCATTGTATGCAATGGTTTACACTCTGCTGCTTGCACACAGCATCTGGCCCCGAGCACCTTCGTCTCTCTGGTGTGCCGCACCACCGCTGGATGCTGCCTCTCCTTCCTGCGTTCTCAGTCGTTCCAGCTGTGCACTGCTCTCTCTTACCCAGGCCTGGAAGCAGACACACTCCAAGGATCTCTGACTCCTTCTCAGGGAGACGGTCTTTAGAATCCACCGTCTGGGCCGTCAATGCAACCAATGTGCTGCTGCCCCTCATTCCCTTTTCGCTGCTCGCACTAAAGTATGTTTGTCTGTATATTATTGAAGAACGCAGCATCCGGAGGACGGCAGGCTTATCAACAATCTGCAGAATGCAGAGGCCTCACCTT